CCAGGACCCCTTAGGGAAACCATCTACGCAACTGTAGACCATGACGTCTCTTTACAGATGTAATGTTGCCAAAAATTCCTCTTAAACCCACCTGATACTGAAGTAAATGACCGCACCGGACCATATTTATACCCCAACACATGCCAGATTTAACATGATGGTGAGCCGTTTAAACACAACACCAGTAGCAATGCAGACAGTGGTACTTTTAATTACCATGTTAATAACTGTGTATAGTTATACACAATTATAAAAATAGTCTATACCCACTAGACGGTTGATAAAAAATACACTCATATAATATGTTTCAACCCGCAATAAAGATCTTACAAGAACGATGTATTTGAGTATTTTATTTTTGGAGTGAGAGTTAGTATCTTAGTCTTGTTTAATGTAAAATGATCAAAAATCTAGTGTCTTTTTTTGCGATTACATTGCAAATACATGTTTACTGAAAACCACATCGTGGTTTCAGGAAACAGCATCTGTCATCAGGCTCTGAACAACCTGGCCCAGGAAGTGTTCTCAACAATGTGTGCTGTGAGACAAAGGAACCCAGAATCCCTCCAAGCCACATCCATCAGCTCAGCAGCACCAGAGAACATGCAGCAGGCAGAGGCAGGAACCCAAAGATGGCTGAGGTGTGTTCCCCTTCCTCCAGGCTGTGGTGAGAGGAGCGCCGGCCTGAAGCCAAGATGGTGGTCAGAGTGGAAACCACAGAGTAAAAATAGAGCCGGCCGGGTCCAGAACATGTCTGCTAAGGAACAGAGATGGATGGACCTCAGCACACAACAAAGCTCTGAGATGACAGACGGAGGACAATGAGGCCAATGAGGGCATGTGAGTGCATTTAAACATCGGCTGCCAGACAATGAGGTCAGTCAACACTATAATAAAGACAAAACTAGGACAGATGCAAAAAAAAGCATGCAAGAAAACCCCATCATTATGGAATCCAATTTGCAAATTGGATAAACAGCCAATTAGCGTTGGGAAAAGTTGGAAATAGCAGAGTCCTTCACCACAGACGTCCAGAATGATGAGGGGTGAAGAGAAAATAAAACCATGCGACCAAATGCTGAATAGAAAAACAAATGGCTATGGCATCTAGGACAGTAAGACTCTGGCAATAAACATGGGAGAAGAAAAAAAAGTTTCCCAACTATTAACCCAGTCTAATTCAGAATACCTATTACCAACATTAGGCTGTTAACTGGACACCCAAAAGCTAGCAACTGAAAAACACATTTGGTTTTGCTTTGACATGAAAGCTAAGGTCTTCTTTGATCCAACTGGATATGATGAACTTGCTGTGACATATTCCTTTAGCTCATATCCAGGCTTTCACTTGGTATGTTACTTAAATTATTATAGGGTAAGCTCCCAAATGTAGCCTTAAGAACCTCCTGTTTCTTTATGTCTGCCATTCATATCGCCATTTTAAATGTAATCATTTAACTTGCGCTTTTAAAGGATATGTGCTCTCCAAAATCATAGGCAGGGGTTTTAATGTCAGAAATACATGGAGCCAAACAATCGCCAACCGCACTCACCCTGCTAGGACCAGGTTGGAACTAACCTGACTCCGCCAGATGGATTTTCTCCACATATCCATCTGGAAACCTTCCGCTGAAGTAATTTTGGGAAGGGGCGAAAATACTGGTTAGCCGATTGGCCTATGTTGGTGATAGACGGGCCAAATAAACCAATCAGCTCAACGAAGCATATGACGTACTAACGACGACAAAAACACGACCACAAGCCAGGATACTCTTGCCGAAACCGGGAGAAGAGCAAAAACATCTTTTCCTCTGAGAAAAGCCTCCA